AGCTTATTCACCATCATCCACTCTACTCCTATATTAGTTTAGGTAAGCCTCTCTTGCTTCAAATATTGGGTGGGCTTTATTGAGAATCATAATTTCTTTTGGGTTGAAATTTTGAATTCATACTGTGTTGTCCATGGCTTCTTTATTTATATTTTTTGTGGAGTGTGGAGTATTTATTAACAGGCTTTTAAATGATATAGTATATGGTATATTCAGTTGCCTTCATATACGCATTGAAAAATTTATCATGCTTATAAATCCCTTGCTTATTCATCTGACTTTTTTTGGGGGGGAAGGAAGATTCCCCTTCCAGTTTTATATACATATATTTAAAAAGTTTAACAAAAATATAGCAGAAAAAGAAGCATGGCAGTATTTTAATTCATTACTTTTTGTAATTCACTAGCTTAAGGTTCCCAGGAACCTTGCATCCCAATTTGCTTAGTATCAACATAAATTGCTAGAATATATTGTATTTTTTTTCCAAGTCTCAGAGCAATACTTGGAGGAAGGGAAAAGTGTTATATATGGTGTATAAAAGAGAACAAATATGAGAGATGCCACAAGCTGAAAAGTGAAGAATAAACAAGCTACTTCATCAATCACTTCCCAAGTCTTTAAAAAGAAACAATCCATTAAGAGGGGGGAGTATGTACATAAACATATTGCTATGCAAGAATATAATCACTCATGCCCCCGTCATCTCACAATTGAACTATTGTAATTTGCTGTATATGGGGATGTCCCTGAAGACCTTCTAGAAGTTGCAGCCTGGCTCAAAATACAGCAGCATGAGCAGTAATAGGAACTTCACACTATGGTTATTTGGCACCACAACTATGCAAGCTGCATTGGCTGCCAGTTAACTTCTGGGTGCAATTCAAAGTGCTGGTTCTTACCTATAAAACTCTTTATGGCAGGGGTCCTCAACCGTGGCAACTTTAAGACTTGTGGACTTCAACTCCCAGAATTCCTCAGCCAGCTTTGCTGGCTGAGGAATTCTGGGAGTTGAAGTCCACAAGTCTTAAAATTGCCAAGGTTGAGGACCCCTGCTTTATGGCATAGGGCTTGGTTATCTGAGGGATCATCTACCTCCAACTGTTTCTGCCCACCTGTATATTTGGATGGAGTCAGTACATCCCAGATCCTTCAACTGAGGTCTGTCATTCTATGGGACCAAGGAGCATGTATTTCCTGTCACTCTGGACCTGCCCTCTGGAACAGTATCATCCCAGAGATATAGATGGTGCCCAGTTTTCTGGGATTCCAGAAAACACTTAAGACCTGACTCTTTTCCGAGGTCTGGAATTAATGTACTTGTGGGGCCCCCTGTGATATTTTTATTGTTAAAGTTGTTTTTGGTCAGGGCTGTCACATTCTGTTTTATTTTTTATGCTTTTAGCTGTTTAAATGGTGTATTATGATTTTGTAAGCTGCCCAGAGGAAACTGGAGGGGACAGCCATAGCAAATTCAAGTTCATTCATAAACAAGGAATGCAAGGAAAGCAAACAACAAAATAAAAAAAAATTCAAAAGAAGCACCGCTGAAAGCCAGTTTGGTCTAGCGGTTAAGGCACCAGGCTAGAAACCAGGAGATTGTGAATTCTAGTCCTGCCTTAGTATGAGAGCCAGCTGGGTGTCTTTGTGTCAATTACTCTCCGGCAACCCAACCCAAATCACAGGGCTATTGTTGTGGGGAAAATAAAAGGAAGGAATATTGTGTGTGTTTTCTGCCTTGAGTTATTAATAAAAATAATTACAGGTGGGATATAAATAAATAAAAAATATGCGTAAATCTGGGAAATGGCTGGAATATTTTGCTTTCATCTACCCAGTAGCCACTGCGTAACGAAAAAGAGTCATATTCCACAGGAGAGTACTTGCTTTGCACATTTAGCTTAATGCTTCTACAATAAGGATTTCAAGTAGCAAAGCTTAAGAAAACTTCTGCTTTATACTGTACTTTGGAGTCCTACATGTATTGCAATAGATATCACTGGGCTGAATGCATCAAATAGTCTGTTCACAAATACATTATCTCAGGTTATTGTAACAAGTGGGAAAGTCCAGGTTTTACATGCAGAAGATCCCAGGTGGCCCCCACTAAATATGCCAATGGAAATTATTTAGCTCTGCAATGTTTGTAATTCACTTTTGCCAGAAATAGTCTGGAGAGCACCTAGTCAATACTGCGCCTGATTCAGTATATACAAGGAAGATGTATTTGAAAGTAATCAACAATTATTTAATCATCATAGGAATGAGTCAAGGGGAGCCCTGAGCTCATATATTCTCTAGTCTCCTTTCCTCCTTCCATGCCACTGCAAGGAGGTGACGGAACAATTTTGCTTGCAACTTAGGAATTTGCTTTGCTTCGTTTCATTTTGCTGTTGAGAGCTACAGTCATCTTTTCTGCCAACAGATAGCAGACTGTTTAATCTTTTCCAACCTGATGACCTCCAGATGGATTAGTACTACAGCCCCATAATTTCTAGCAAGCATGATCAAATGCTAATGGGAAATTCCAGAGGTTGTCTGGAAAGTACCTGGATGGAGAAGGCTTGGTATATACTGGAGTTTGTATGCTTTTCTGAAAAAAAACTAGCCTTATCAACCAGGTTAAGATTCGGATTCAACATTAAATTGCTAATAAGGGAGGCTATCCTATCTGAGCCATATATTTCAAACAAGCTATATAAAGGTAGTCCTCGACTTACAACAGTTACAAAGTTACAACGGCACTGAAAAATGTAACTTATGACCGTTTTTTCACAGTTACGATCTTTGCAACATCCCCTGATAATGTGATTAAAATTCAGATGCTTGGCAATTGGTTCATGTTTATGACCACTGCTGTGTCCCAAGGTCATGTGTTCACTTTTGTGACCTGACAAGCAAAGTCAAAGGGGAAGGCAAATTCACTTAACAACCATGTTACTAATTTAACAATTGCAGTGATTCACTTAAAACAACTATGGCAAGAAAGGTCATAAAATGGGGCAAAATTCATTTAAGAAATGAGTTACAACAACAGAAATGTTGGGCTCAATTGTGGTGGTAAGTCATGGACTACCTGTACAATTGTGGTGAAGAATGAGAATAAAGCAGATTCAGAACTGCTACAGAGAAACTGTGGGGGGAAAAATAACCACCCCTCCATTTTATCATGAAAGAAGTATTCAGCTATCATCCACGATCTGCACAAAGTGTCGCTCCCATGTAACGCCGCTGCTGCGCAAGCTGCACTGGCTGCCTGTGGCCTTCCGAGTGCGCTTCAAGGTGTTGATTATCATCTTTAAAGCGCACCATGGCATTGGACCTGGTTACCTCCGAGACCGCCTTCTGCCACAGATCACCTCCCACCGGCCGATACGCTCCCACAGAGAGGGCCTCCTCAGGGTGCCGTCAACCAGACAGTGTCAGCTGGTGACCCCCAGGGGGAAAGCCTTCTCTGTCGGAGCACCCACCCTCTGGAACGAGCTGCCCCCAGAGATCCGGGTGATTCCAGATCTCCCCTCCTTCCGCCGCGCCCTCAAGACTTGGTTATTTCAGCGGGCAGGACTGGCCTAGGGGTATTTTAAATTGGTTTTAACAAAAAATTTTAGTAGAAGCGGCCTAGTTAAATATTTATTTTTAATCACTTTTAAATTTTGTATTGTTTTGTATTATTGTTTTTAAACTGGCTGTAAGCCGCCCTGAGTCCTTCGGGAGAAGGGCGGGGTATAAATTTAATAAAACTAAACTAAAACTAAACTAAACATATGGCTCACAAAAAAGAAAAAAATCAACATTAATCATCTCATGAAGCTCAAGACCTCTCAGGTTGCACTCTGCACTATTTTTGAACATTGACATCTGGAAGAGCTGCACGCCAAAGCAGCTTGAGAAGGAAGCATCTGACACAGCGCTTGCTAATTTCACGGACAACAAACTGGAAGTTGCCAAGACTATATGGGGCTCCAAAAAGCAAAGTCTGGCACTATCTATCCCAGAATAGTCAAGCCATCCAAGAATCTTACAGGTGCTGAAATAATGAACAACTCAATTACGAGTACTCAGATGGAGATATAAGATATAGAGTTACTGAAATGGGAGTAGCTACCATATCATCTGACTCATATATCAGGACCTACTTAATTTTAAATACGGAAATAGCAAAACATTTCCCCACAACATATTTTTTTAAGTGTGGATGGAAGAAAAACAAGTAGAAAAGGTTGCCCACATGTTAATATTATATTACAACTCTTATTTTGTAATTTATACTTAACTTAGCTATATAATACAGGTAGTTCTCAACTTACAACCATTGGTTTAATGACAGCTTGAAGTTAAAACAGCTATGAAAAGAATGACTTGTGATTGGTTTCCACATTTACGACTGTTGCAACATCCCCATGGTCATGTGATCATAATTCAGACATTTAGCAACTGGGTAATATTTATCACGGTTGAAGTATCCTGGTGTCATGTTAAAGTTGTAAAGATTCACATTACTAAGTTAACAGCTGCAGTAATTCACTGTACAGGAAAGGTGATAAAATGGGGCAAAACTCACTTAACTGTTTTGCTTAGCAATGGAAAATTTGGGCTCGGTTGTGGTTGTAAGTCAAGGACTACCTATATTAGATGTTGGGATGCTTCGAAAAGTTATCCAAAGTGATAAATGATTCGGAACATGTCCCCCAGTTGTCGAGCCAGAGTCTCTAAGGTCATAAATGTCATGTTAACAGTACATGTCACATCTGTATAACCATAATGTGAGATTCTTTGCCATCGTTTTCAATTTAGGTATGAACAAGTCCTACAAATGCTGAAACAGTGATTTATATTCCTGCAAACACCAGATAAAAGGAACAACACCTGAATTTCACTTGTAAATGGAAGCTGAGTTTGAATCTCCAACGTTTCTGTGCCTTTTAATCTGCAGGCTTCTCTATGGCTACCAGCAAACAAATGAATTACTAGGGAAAACTGCATGCAAAATGAAGTCTGGTTACCTTAGGAGGAACGTAGAACTCTAGAAGGAACCTTTCCCCCTCTATCTTTACTGCTTTCCTTAGCAGCAAACGGCATTTTTGCCACTGAGAGCTACCCACACAGTTTGTGTCATCAGCAACCATGTAGCGAAGGGTTCCCTCTCTCTGAATGTCCACTAAATCCACTTTAGAAGATTGCCCCTTTGAAAGCCAGAGTTTGTGGGTCCATTTCTCTCTGGATTCGCTGTGTTCTTTGCTACCAGGAGGACAATGTTCCCGCTCAGACTGTTTGCTTTGCATGGCTTCCGCGCCTGGCTCTGGAGAAGACCGCCGATGCCACATCTCCTTCATGCCATCCACCACGCACAAGCTCATGTTCCTCAGAGAAAAACCTTTCTTGAATTTTGTCTTAGAAGAACTGTGCACGGAGACATCTTCTGAGCTTCGGGACTGGCCATAGGAGGAGACTTTTCTTGCCTGAGCCTGTTGGGTTTGGCTTAAGTACCTGCTGGAGGTGAGCGTGTGGTCCATGCTGTCTAGAGACTCCACGGAAGTCTGCTCTTTCCTTGGCAAGAGATCCCGTCCATAAGGCATGTGGCAGTTCTGAAGGCCCACAAATGGGACAATGTTATATTTCGTAGGGGAATTGGACACAAACACCCTGTTGACTTCCAGGCTGAAGATGTCCAAGAAATTTGCTGCAAAATGATGAGAGAAGGAAGTCTCAGCTCCAGGGGTGTCGTAGTGGGGATTTTCCTTCAGGAACTGGCAGAATTTCTGAGCAAAGTCCACTGCAGCAGCCTGGGCATGGAGCTCACAGAATTCCCGCCAGTCAGGAAGCTGGGAGGGAGGTTCTTGACAAAGAGCATCACCATTCATGACTGTTCCATTCCACCTACAATCAAGAGAAAGATGGTGAGAGAGAGAGAGAGAGAGAGAAGCTCTAACTACCTACCTGTTCTCAAATACAGTTAGTCCTTGACTTACAACCATTTCTTTAGTGACCATTTAAAATTAAAACAGCACTGAGAAAGTGACTTATGACTGGTTTTCACACTTATGACTGTTGCAGCATCCTCACGGTCACATGATTAAAATTTGGGTGCTTGGCAACTGGCATTTACGAGGGCAATTCAGAAATAAACCTCCATTTGGTTATCAATGACAGATACTCGCAGATACAGATCTTTTATTGTGCACATTAGAAAAACTACAACATTACATTACTTTTCAACATAATTGCCATTCAAATTGAGGTACTTGTCATAATGTCTTACAAGGTTTGAAATTCCTTAATAGTAGTCGCTCAGCGCCAAATTCGGGCTATGGGCGGGGTTGATCAAAAACATCCCAATGAAACTGCTTGAAAAGTTCTTGGGTGTGTCTAGCAGTATACAGGCGAGCATTATCATGAACCAACACCACACTGGAAGTGGTGCCATAGAAAATCTCGCCAAATGTGAAGATGCCAAAGGAGTAGTGCTAGTGAAATTCATGGAGTGTGGTTTGACCATCAATTCAGAAGTATACCGTGAAACGTTACAAAAACTTAAGACGAGCCATCTATAACAAGCATAGGGGCATGCTGACTTCCGGTGTGGAGTTGGTTCACAATAATGCTCTCCTGCACACCACGAGACACACCCAAGAACTTTTGAAGCAGTTCCGTTGGGATGTTTTGGATCACCTCCCATAGCCCAGATTTGGTGCCAAGCGACTACTACTAAGGAATTTCAAACCTTGTAAGATGTTATGACAAGTGCCTCAATTTGAATGGCGATTATGTCGAAAAGTAATGTAATGCTGTAGTTTTTTAATGTGCATAATAAAAGTTCTGTATCTGCGAGTGTCTGTCATTGATAACCAAATGGAGGTTTGTTTCCGAATTGCCCTCGTATTTATGACAGTTGCAGAGTCCCGGGGATCATGTGATCACCATTTGTAACCTTCCCAGCCGGCTTCTGACAAGCAAAGTCAATGGGGGAAGCCAGATTCGCTTAATGATTGTATGATTCACTTAATAACTACAGTGATTCGCTTAACAACTGTGACAAAAAGATCATAAAATGGGGCAAAACTCAGTTAACTGTCTTGCTTAGCAATGGAAATTTTGGGCTCAATTATGGTCGTTAAGTCAAGGATTGCCTGTACAAAATAACTTGATTTGCTTGTACTGGACTATTTCAGAAGAGGTGGGACCTGGAGGAGAAAGAGGGAGCCCTAACAGTAGTAGTGATTAAACCTCTCAACAAATTCAGAAAAAAAGTTAAATAGCTTTCATGACATCTAAGATCCATTACACTGGCAAACACCCCCATTCTCTCACAATTTTTAAAATGATACTGGGTTTCAAAATCTTACCTTTTCAGTTTATTTATCCAACCACTTCATAGATTGCAAATTAACACTAACCAAAGGAAAGGGATGGGGAGATGCATCTCACTGCTCATATATGTTGGGAGACGTAGAGTCTGCAAATGGCACTTACGGTACAATTTGTGTCCTCCAAGATCACACTGCTAAAACCTAACGACGAACTCCTGTACTCAACTGCCCAAATTATAATAGGAAATAAAAGCAAATAGGTAAACAGCTGCACAGTCCTGCAAATATTAAAAATATTACTCCCAACTTCTGGAAAAAAAAAGCATGAAAATCTAAGCCAAGCATTCTGGCCTGTTGCCATGGCAATATTGCTACCTTGTCTCCATGTACGTCTTTCACATAAAAAAGTGATTTTAAAAAGGGTGCCAAAACACTGCCTGCCTTTGATGCATGCACAGAATAATACATTCACATGAACATCAGATCACCAACTATGCTTTCCTAATGTGGCTTTTATTAACCGAAACACAATGTTGAAAGAGAAGAAAATCTCCTCATCCTTTCAAGGACATTCACACCTAAATTCCCCTCCCTTTCCTGGCTCTGGGGTGGCCTATTTCCTGTGTATTCCTGGAGTACGTGTGCTTCACATGGAGCTTCTATCGCACTGCCTGCCCGTTGCCAAGGCAGGCTGAAGCTGGATCGAGCTTCTGCCAAAGCTGCTGGGCAAAAAACACAACGTCTCCCGGAAGCCTTTTCTCCTCAGATCACGGAAATATTGATTGTGTGAAATACAAGTCAATCTTCCCATAGGAAACTCCCTTGCCTTCTTGACTTCATTATTCTGCCTGCCCATCAGTCTTTCTCCCTTCCAGTAATGCGGAAGTCAAACATAGGTAGACCTTGATTTATGAGCCCAAAATTTCTGTTGCTAAGCAAGACAGTTGTTAAGTGAGTTTTGCCCCGTTTTACAACCTTTCTTGCCATAGTTGTTAATGAATCACTATGGTTGTTAAGTTAGTAACAAGTCTGTTAACTGAATCTGGCTTCTCCATTGACTTTTCATGTCAGAAGGTCACAAAAGGTGATCACATGTCCATGGGGATGCTGCAAAGGTCATAAGTGTGAATAATGGCCATAAGTCACTTTTTTCAGTCCTGTTGTAACTTCAAACTGTCACTCAATGGTTGTAAGCCAAGGACTACCTGTAGGGCCCTCCCATTTTGGAGGAAGACAGAACATCTTTTGGGGCTGTGTATATTCACCAATCATTTGTTTATTTGTTTAATAAATAAAGCCACCCGTCTCATGTACTTGACTGGGGGACTAACAATTAAAAACAGAGTAAAAATGGTACAAAAACACAACCAAAATTGTAAATAACATAAAACAGCAGCCCAAAACACCCACAATATCCCATAATCATTATAACTAAGTTTGCTAGCAACTTGGTAGATCTTAACACAGGTCATAATGATTAGATAGACCAATGACAATACAGTATCAACAGAGGAAGGGGCTAGTGATGCAACTTCATGTCGTCAAATGGTACACAGCTCTTCTATGCTTCAAGAAGGAAGAAAGCTTTGAAGGTCACACAGCCCTCATTTCTGGGAATGGAATGGTAGTTTTAGAGCAGTGGTTCTCAACCTTTTTAATGCCGCGACCCCCAACCGGTCATAAGTCGAGGACTAAACCGGTCGTAAGTCGAGGACTAAACCGGTCGTAAGTCGAGGACTACCCAACTGGTCGTACGTCGAGGACTTTCCCTGCCCAGGAGCGCCGCACATGCGTGGTTCCGCCCCCTGCGCCGGCCGAGGCATAGCTGGCAAGCGGCAGAGACGGAGCAGGCCGACCACCAGCTGGCCCAGCCCAAGGGAGGTAAGGCACCCGCCGGAAAAGAGGAAAAAAATGGCGGACAGCCTTGCTTGGCAATCCCCGTGAAATGGTCGATTGACCCCAAATGGGGTCGCGACCCATAGGTTGAGAACCACTGTTTTAGAGAAATGCAACTTCCCTTTTTCCTTCCATGGATTCATGAGAATGGAGACTATGGGTGTTTCATTGACATGGATGAATGTGCTAATATTTGCCTTTAGGAATGAGACTTAACCGTTTGGCAGATTCAAACTCTGCCTGTCATTTGCCTGGTTGGGGTTAGCACAGGGGTTGTTAACTATGGCAACTTTACAACTTGTGGACTTCAACTCCCTGAATTCCTTAGCCAGCCATGCTCAGAAATTGAAGTTGAAGTCCACAGGTCGTAAATTTGCCATTGTTGCCCACTTCTGGGTTAGTAAGTGGGATTGTGGTTTATTACCCCTGGTTTATTTGTACTCCATGCAAACTACGTCTTAGCACAATGGAGGAAGTCAGCCAATCTCGAAGCAAGCATTAAACGGACACAGAAGTCGTTAAGCAAACCCATTTTAGCTAATGGGTGTTTTTTTCTAGAAATCAGAAATAAATGCTGGTTTCTAGCAAAATAATTCACAAACTGTGATCACATATCAACTTGGAGGAAGATGAACTAGTTCCAGGCATGTCTGGAGGGGAGTTGGTTAATGGCTCCAAACAGCTGTGTGACAGGGATTTGGCTCAAGTACAGCTGCAGCAGGACAGCCTGAGGCTTCAGGTGAAGAAAGCATGCAGCTGCAGCCAGTCGGTGATGAGGAAGAGGAACTGCCTTCTGCACTTGATCCAAGTACACGTAGGGCAGAGAAAAGGCAGGAGCAGAGAAGGTCAGCCAGATTACTCACAAGGAGAAACCCTCACCCTTCTTGATGGGCTGCACTGGAAGCTGGCTATTTAGCACAGCAGACAGATGGAAGCGATGCTGGGAATGTGCTCGTTTCCTAACTGTGTGTTTTCTGGTCATTGTGATTCTTCCTTGCTTTAAACGGACACCGCGCCTTGATTTGGATTGTGCCTTGTGAACTCTGGACCTTTCTTGCCTCGTGAACCCTCTTGTACTGTGGATTTAATTTGCCTGGTGGGTTTATTTTGATTGGGAAACCTTCAAGTGCCTTGTGGACTCACTGGCCATTGCTCCGTGGACTAGCATTGGTCTGCTTGTGGCTGGACTTAATTGGGACAGTCCTGGGTTTTTGGTGAAGGGAGTTGTGGGGGAATATTAATAAACCCACTAAACCACTGGTGTGTGTGTGTGAACGGGACAGCACACGTGTTCAATAAACCATTGTTTAAAAATGTTAGCCCTATCACTGTGAATGTCTCCAATCGCATCTTATTTTTATGTCTACATGTGTAATATGTTGATAGACTATTATCTATATCCCAAGATAATAATAATAATAATAATAATAATAATAATAATAATAATAATAATAATAATAATAATAATAATAATAATAATAATAATAATAGTAAAGTTGGAAGGGACCTTGGAGGTCATCTAGTCCAATCCCCTGCTCAGGCAGGAAACCCTATACCATTTCGGACAAATGGCTGTCCAGTCTCTTCTTAAAAACTTCCAGTGTTGGAGCATTCACCGCTTCTGGAGGCAGGTTGTTCCACTGGTTAATTGTTCTNCC